CTGTTATTGCAGTAAAGTAGAAGACTGGGGTCCCAAGTGGCCCTCAGCTATGGCCAAGATGCCCAACAAGCAGCCACTGACTCAGGGCAGCCTGAGATAGAGGTCACAGGTGTGGTCACTCCAGCTGGGGCAGTGACCTCAATAGAGGGACCAAAGGGACCTTGTCATTGTTGATCATCATTGCCGAGACCACCTTCCTGCCAGTGGTGTGACCTGCAGATGACAGCGGTGCATGCGGTGGGGTGGAGGCGCAGGGTGAGCTCCGAGCACAGAGCAGGTCAGTGGCAGGCACTCCTGTCTTGGAGGAAACAGCTCACTCCAGAGCCTGGGTGACCCTCTAGGCATTCATTTTTCTGGGCGGTGAGGTGCTTTAACACCATCTCTTGTCACTGTCACTGTGTATACGGTCTATGGTGTATAAATCTCCCCATGTCCCCATTTCACAGCGGCAAAAACCGAAGTCAGAGAGAGCCAAGTGCCTGAGCAAGGCTGAGAAGCTCAGAAGCGGTAGGCTTTGCTCTGCCTGGAGGTGGGGATGGTGCACCTGGGGACCAAAAGTTCCCAGTAGCTCTCTTGGTGGCCTGTGGGCTCAGGGGAGGTGTGGGTGGGGAGCAGAGGCTCCACTCATTTCTTCAGGACAGCGCCTATGCAGGGTGTGGGCCTCAGCCCCCTCGCTGCCTAGCTTTCTGAGGCACCCCAGCTTGGTGAGCTCAAGGACTAGCCCTGGGTCCTCCTTAAACCTGAGGCCCTTGGCCCAGGCTGGAAGCACAGGCCTGGTGCTGGCAAGTCATGACTTCTGTCCTGCCTGGAAGACTGGCCATGTCCTGCTCTTGAAGCTGCTGGTTTCTTTTTCTTTTCTCTTTTTTCTTCTTCATTTTCTCTTTTTTCTTTCTTCCCCTCCTCTGCTTCTCCTCCTTCCCCTTCTCTGTCTTCTTTCTCTTCTTCTTCTCCTCTTCTTTCTTCTCTTTTTCTTTCTTTTGCCTCGCTTCCTCTCTTTCTTTCTTTGTTTCACTGGGGATTGAACCCGGGGCCCTTGAACGCAGCTGCATTCCCAGGCCTTTTTATTTTGAGACAAGTTCTTGCTAAGTCACTGTGTTGGCCAGGCTGGACTTGAACTTTGGATTTTCCTGCCTCCGCCTCCCAGAGTGCTGGGACTGTAGGTGTGTGCCACCAGCCTGGCTGCTGGGTTCTCATCAATAGCATGGAGTGGCAGATACCTCGTTCCCAGGGCAGCTGTTGGGTTGACTGTACCTGAGTCTGGAGCTGATCTGTGTCAGCAGTGACTCTCCCCTGGCTCCCGAGGCTGGGACCTCCCAAGGCTGGGACCAGGTGTGGCTTGGTGCACCACAGTGAGAGGCTCAGGGCCTGGGACAGGTGCTAATTGGAGTCCAAGGATCCAGTCCTGCTCCTCCAGCTCCAGCTCCCTCTCACCCTGCTTTCAGAACTGGGGACAGGGTGCCCCCCATGTCAGTGAGTCCTGTGGGCTCAGGAGTCTGCCGATCAGAGTCAGCGGTCTCGGGCTCTCCCGGTAGCTGCCCCAGCGGGAGGCACAGAGGAGAAAGGGCCCGGGGAGTAGGGAGGAGGGCCAGCACCTGCACCACTCACTGTATTATGCGTTGTCACAAGGGCGCCTTTCCCACTGACTCGTCCCAGAGGGCAGGGCGCTCACTGCGGGTGCAGAGTGGGGAGAGGAAGTACTGAAATACAGACCTCTGTGCACTGTCACATGTCTGCCACCTTGTCCTCTCCTCAGTGACAGCCTGGGCTGCTGCCCCTGCCTCTAGGCCTCTCTGTCTGCAAGCTGCCTGCCCTTCATGCTACACCAACCCGAGCTTCCCCAGCACCTGGAAAACAGTTCCTCACCTGCCAAAGCCTCTCGGCGGCTCCCCATTGTCCTGAGAACAACAGCCCAGCTCTTCAGGACCCACGTCCTCATCACCAGGACCCCAAACCTCCAGCCACAGCCTTTCCCCAGTTCACTTCTAAACTCCTCATCCAGTGACCCTGGGGCAAGGCCAGCCTTATCCTCAAGCCCTCCCCTCCTCCCCAGCTCCCCTGGGGAGCTTCAGTCCCGCCCACAGGATTTTCCAGACCCACCCCTGTACCCCCAAACTTGCAACCAAAAGTCATCTCCCTAAGTGCAGCCACACGTGCCAGGGCACAAGGTGAGCACGCCTGCTCTCAGAGGTGGTCAGCAGGGACCCAGGTTTGCACGCACAGAGGGCCTGCCTGGAGCACCTCTACAGCCAGCAGGGCTGTGCAATGGTGGGCTGCTCCGCCTGGCAAGTCGGCCCAGTCCCACAGGGAGGGAAGATGGCTCATGGAGAGGGCCACCTCCAGCCCCAAGCAGGGTGGCTGAGGCCAGGCAAGGACTGAGGTCAGGGGAGCCAGGAGAGGTCTCGGAACACCTTCTTTAATACCAACAGCATCGGGAGTCTGAGTTTCGGCTTAGGTCAGTGTTCTTGACCAGGGGCTGCATTTGGCAATGTATGGAGAGGCTTGTGTCCTCACAGCTGGGGGCAGGGCTCCTGGCGTCTGGTAGCAATCTACAGTGCACAGACCATCTCCCAAGGGAAAGGCCAACCCAGCCCACACTCCAGTGCAAGAAAGTCTAGCCCTGCAGTGCGATTCTGGGGCTGCTGCTGGGGGTGCAGCAGGAAGTGGCAGCAGGGACCCTGGGCCCATTCCCAGCCTGGCGAGGCAGGTGCCTTTATGTCAGTTTAGATACTGCAGCTCTGTGTCAGCTTCTCCTTGGGAAAAGCCCTGTGTGAGGATGGGTAGGAGGAAGCTTAAAAACCATTTCTCTGCTTTGATTTATAGGCCTAGGAAAGGCCGGTGAGATGCCTCGGTAAATCTGAAGTACAGTAGGGACCCAGATGCAAAGTCTGGGTGTCCAGGGAAGTTTTTACTCTTTTACCAGCCTCTGAGCCTCTCTGTAGGATCCCTGACATCTCAGTGAGGATGCAATCACCCGGAGGTATTGGCCAACTACGGCCTGCAGGCCGACTCTGTCCTAGTGCCTGCCTTCCTCTCTTCCCTTCTCCCTCGTCAGTGCTGGAGATGAACCCAGGGGCATCACACAGGCTAGGCAAGCTCTCTATTCCTGTGCTACCCCGCAGGCCCTACTGTCTTTTTATGCACAGCTTGCAAACTAAAAGTAGGTTTTATACAGTATTTTTAATGAAAAAATATTCAACGATGCATAGGAATTTTATGAGGTTCAAATTTTGATGTCTGTGAGATTTTTTTAGGACATAGCCAGGCTCATTCTTTACATGTTTGTGTTACAATGTTAGAAGTAAGTAGTTGTAGCAGAAAGCATACAGCCACAAAGCCTAAAGTATTTACCTCTAGAGCTCTGCAGAAAGTGCTTGCTGGCCCCTGCCCTAGACCCTGGCTCAGCCCAGTCACCAGTTCTGTGTGGCCTGGGTGAGTGACCCACCTTTCCAGGCCTCCTCACTTGTAAGTAGGGATGAAGCTTCACTCTAGAGATGCGTGCTGTGTCAGTAGCCTTGCTTGCATAATAAATCATCACAACAACTAACAGTTTAAAACAGCACCTGTTAATTATCTAACAGTCCTGCCAGTCAGAAATCCAGGTGGATTCAACCAGGTTCTCTGCTTAGGGCCAGAGTGCTGGCCTGACATGGCGGGAGAATCCTCTTCCCAGTATTCTCAAGGAGCTGGCAGAGTCAGAGGCCGCGTGGCTGATGAACGCAAGGTCTGGCTGTCAGCCAGGGGCTGCCCTTGGGGAAGGCCGAGGCCTGGCCCTCAGTCCCTGCGGCTCAGTGGCTGAAAACCTCCTCCAAGTCAGGTCTCCACCTCTTCTGCCACCAGCCAAAGCCACCTCTGCTTTGAAGGGTTCCTATGACAAGATCTCCCAGCTCCCTTGCTTAACCAGCTGGTCAGGAACCTTACTTAAGCTGCCACATTCTTCTTACTACATAGTATCACATAACCACAGAGAGACACGGAGGTCACAATCCTGAGCGCTGCCAGTGCTGCACCAGGGGACACTGAGCACGTGCGTGGAGAACCCTTGAGGGACAGGGTCACACCTTGGGTATAGGTAGACAGCAGGACCTGTGGACAGACTGTGTTGACAAAGAACTCAGAACAAACTAGACAGTGACAAGAGCCTGTGCCTGTGTAAATAAGCCCCTGGTCTGGGGCTTATTTTTGCAAGGGAGAACAATATAATACAGGACACATATTCTATATGATTATTTATAATACTCACCCAAAGAACAATATACAAAACAGTGCAGAAAATCTGTCCACAGACTATAAACCAAGAATCCAGCTGAATGCCTGGATCCCATGGAAATGTCCTGCATGAGTCCAGCTGAGGACCTAGAGCTCATAACAATGCCTCCCACAAATCCAACTGGAAGCCCAGAGCCCACAACAATGTCTCATGCAGGCCTATTTCACAGATCTGCACTGCAAAGGCCCAAAGATCAGTGGTGGAATCTAGGAAGTCTGTACCAGTGGGATGAAGGATCTGTGCTAGCAAGCTGAGGGATCTGCACTGGAGCCAGGAAGTGACACTCAGAAGAACCAGAGCTCCCCCAAAAGGTGTCACAGCCATCTTTAGCAACATTGAGTTCCCAAGCTCCTCCGATGATCAAGATGGCCCAGTTCCCATCAGGAAAGCCAACATAGCAAGCTTCCCCCAGAGACCTGCAGTGCACCATCCTTCCCACCGGAGCCAGGAAGCGTTGCTCAGAGTGAGGACCAGAGCTCCCCCAAAGTGAACCAAAGCTATTCTCAGTGCCAACAAGGCCCTGAGCTCCTTGGAGGATGAAAACAGCCAAGTTCATCAGGAAAGCCAGCATGATGAGCTCCTCCAAAAAACCAACAGCTCCTTCAGCTTCTACCAGGTCCCAACAGCTTCTCTCAGCTCCCAGCAGCCTTTCAGCTCCCAAAAGCCTGTCTTCTTCTCCAGGTCTGCCTCTTATGCTGCTGGCAACAGTCCCCGGGTGGGCCTCCCACAGCCAGCACCACGCTTACTCAGTACACCTGGGGGTTATAAGGTGACCATCAGTTATCAATCCACTACAGCCCGCATGCTGAGGACACGACAGATGTCCAGTTGTACTCACAAGGAAGCTCCTGTAGGTGGCACCTGAGCTGGGATGAAGTACACACAGGATTTCAACAGAGGACGGGGGCGGGACTGGGGAGGAGGGCTGCTGGCCAGGGCGCAGCCAGGGTGGCCGTTCTCACGCTGGTGGCGGAACTGTTTTTAAGGTTTTGTATGAACCAACTTGTTAAAGATTGTATCTGAGTAAAAGTCAGCTCTCAGAGTATAAGTCAGCCCCTACTGAGTACCTGCCAAGTATCAGGTGTGTGTTACTTTTGATTCTTAGCTCATTTAATCCTAAGAGCCCTATGTGGTAAGATTTTTTTTTTACAGTTACATTGAAATATAATTACCATAAAATTCACCATTTAGAGTGTACCAGTCTTTTAGCTGTTCATGCAGTTGTACCTCCATCACTACAGTCAGTTTCAGGTATTTTTGTTACCCTGAGAACAACGTCCCATGCCACTAACCCATCGTGTGTAATTCACCTGCTCCCTGACAGCCAGAAGCTACTTACTCTCCTCTCTCTGGATTCTGTGCATTGCATAAAAATGGAAGCATATGATCAATGGTCTTTTGTGTCTGACGTCTTTCACTCAGCATGTTTTCGAGGCTCATCTATGTCTTCCCATATGTCTATACTTTGCTCCTTTTTATTACTGAGCAGTAGTTTATAGTGTGGCTCTCTTGAACTACGTCTTGCCACTCCATGAGTTCATAGACATTTGGTTGCTTCTACCTTCTGCCTATTGCCACATAGCTGCTGGGGTCATTCATCTACAAGTGCTTTGTATGGTGTGTTTTCACTTCTCTTCGGAATTTGACTTAGGAGTGGGTCTACCCAGGAGTTCCTGATAAGCCTCCTGTCCCTACCTTGCCCAGCTGCCACCCAGCCACCCTGCTCAGCCACAGCTGGGTTCCACAAGAATCTCCCTGCAGCTGCCCAGTCTCCCAAATCAGGTCAGGCCCCAGGCCCTGCCCCTCTACCCCCACACGCTAGCAGCAGATGCAGCTTCTGGTTCTGGTGGAAATTCAGTCTCTCACTGCAGTGTCTGCTGGTGTGAAGATGACAGGCCTGAGTGCTCTGATTTCACTAATCAGTGCTCTGATTAGCCTCTCAGTGACTCAGCCAAGATATTCTCTGTGGCCTCCGTTTCCCCAGCAGTAATTGAGGCAGCTGGCTCAGGTGAGGGTTGGAGGAGGAGCAGTGGGCAAAGTGTGGGCATTGGAGCTGGGATGCCGGGCTTCACCTGCTCCCTGCTCCTGGTGCAGCTGGGCCAGGCCTCGTGTGCCAGGCAGGCGGTGCACCTCCCGCGGTGGGGCTGGGCTGGCTGGCCTCCTGGCTCACCAAAGGGCTCACCAGCCTCTCTGCCCATGCATTCCCGGTCTCTGATACTAGGTCCTTTGGTTCTTTTATCTGGAAACACCAAAAAGCATTTGTCTCCTCTTCTCCCTCTGCACACTTCCACATCGTTCTCTGGGAAAACTGAAGGCCCTATAATCACTGCAGCTCACAGGCAGCTGGCGAAGACTTGGCCAGCAGGAGTTTATATTCCATGATCTCAAATAGACAAAACAGTGCTGTGCTCACCTTCCACCTAGAAAGCCCAGCCAATTTATCTGCTTATCCCTAAGTCCCTGAAGCATCTATGCCACAAACCACTAAAAATCTCTCCTCAGATGACATATACAACCTCTACATTACAGGAAGTGTGGCGCTGTCTGGATGTCACTGGCACATGACAGACTGTACACTGCTGGGTACACATTCTGTTGTTTCCTTTCTACAAACACAGACTGTGGTGTGAGTGACACTGTAATGATACATTAGATGTGCATTGGATACAAGTGCCACGGAACGTAATGAAATACATAAAGAAGCGCAGTTGAAAACTGCCCTGGTCCGACTGCAGCTGAGCTTGTGGGGGGGAGGTGGAGGTGGTGGCTGGCAACAGAGGGTGAAAATGCCACATCCATGTCTGAGGACTAGCGAGTGCCCTTTCCTTTTGACATTGAAAACTCAGCAACTGGGACCAGGAATCTAGCTCAACAGCACAGCGCAAGGCCCTGAGTTCAACTGCTGGTACTAAAAATCAAAACTCAGCAGCTGGATGTAGTGCTGCATGCCTATAACGCCAGCACTTGGGAGGCTGAGCTGGAATCTCTGCAGAGCTCAAGGCCAGCCTGAACTGCATAGCAAGACCCTGTCTCAAAAAACAAAGACTCAGGAAGCAAATGGCTGTGACCCATTATGTGTGGTAAACCACATGAATCACTGGGGTAAACAAATAATCCACATGGACTTCTGTTTGCTTTTCCTTTGCTCACAGTTTCGCAGCTCTGGGAACTGTGCTTGGGTCCTTGCATTTTTTTTTTTTTTTTTTTGAGACAGGGTCTCGCTATGCAGTTCAGGCTGGCCTTGAGCTCACTTTGTAGCCCAGGCTGGTCTCGAACTCACAATGATCCTCTTACCTCAGCCTCCCGGCTGCTGGGATTACAGGCACGCACCACCACTCCCGGCCTGCATTTTCTAAGGTGACATCTGCTCATGGCACTGAAGTTAGCCTCCCAGGCAGGCATCACTCCTGCGCACCTCATGCCGCATGTGACCCGTGCTCTCAGTACTCTGTCATTTCTACCTTTTCTTTCCATATGGGCATTTCTGGGGCACTTTACACTCCCCTACTTTCTTCTGTGGTTTCCAAGTTTCCTGGAAGATACTTTCCCTCACACTGGGAGGAAAATGCTGGCAATAATGCTCAAGATATTGAACAATGTGATGCGGGATGTGGTCCATGGAGAGAGGGCCACACTGGGCTGTCGGTCGCGCCCACCACACCCTTGCCAGGCTCCCTCATAGCTGGACGTTGTCACGGGTGTGTCCACAGACTCAGCCAGCAGAAGCAAGGGGCTCGTGTCAAGGCTGTCTGTGTCTTAACGGTTATTTGTAATCCCAGAGTGTTCTTATTCCTGCTTCCGATTAACCAAACTGGAAACATGATCTGTCGTGGGCTCAGCCCCTGTTCTGTCCACAATGGGACACCAGCCACACTGGGCTCTGCCTCTCCCTTTGGAAGCCTGGACGCCCCTTGGGGCTGTGAGGGATTTCCATTACCTTCACACTCCTATTTCACCCTGCGAAATGTGGGCACATCTCCCAGTTGCCTTTTGCGAAATGTCCAGTGTGGCCCTCTCTCCGTGGCCATAACACCTAGATTGGTCCTCACTCCGTGATCACACTTGAGTGAGGACCAATCAATTATACTTGGTAGTGGATGAAGTCAGTGGAAAAAGATAAACAGCTGCTGCTTCCAGGCATCTGAGCAGGGCTGCCATAGCCAGGCCTAGCAGATAGGATGCAAAGGCCGGGATTAGGATTAGGGTTAGGGTCAGGGTCAGGGTCAGGGTCAGGGTTAGGTTAAGACCAGACTCAACTTGGTGGCTCTTTCCTAAGAAAAGACAGCAGACTAAACTTGGTGCTCAGAAGCCAACCCTTCCTGGGATCTTCATTCAAGGAGAATCCATCATCCTGGAGCCCCAGCCATCAAATGGACCATGCCTGCTATTATGGATTGCAAAGGAACTGACCTATAGGAAGCCAAGTCATCTCTGGAAGCTTTCGGACTCCACTTTCTATACACTTCTGCATTGGGGTGCAAGCCAGGGCTTCCATCCCCCAGGCCCTGCCAGCCTAATCCCAAGGTGTTGACAGGCGCCAGGCAAGAATCAGAGGGAGCCCTGTTCTGCCACAGAGCACTAAAATCGCTGTTCTGAACTCCTGTCACCTTGACTGGTGGTTAGGCCACTTAGGATTCAGCTCTAGGACAGCCACACCTTGGGACATCACTCACATCTTCAAGGCAGACTCATCCAGTTCATAGGCACTGAGGGCAGCTGCTTCTGTGTAACCTATGCCTCCCAGCAGCCAGCACGGCCTGCGAGGACTGGGAGCTCTGTGACACTGACTTGATGTATTACAAGGCTTGGGCCTGGCCACCTGTGAGAAAAACAAAACAAAAGAAAACAGCGTTGCTGCCATGTGTCCTTACTTGATCATTCCCATTTCCCACTTGAGGAAAACTGAGATTCTGAGAGGTTAAGTGGCTTTCCCAAGGCTGCACAGCTGGCCAGAGGACTGCACGCTTGTGCCACTGCAGTTTACCATCCAAACCGGGCTGTGCTGTGAGGACGCTCATTTTCTCTGGGCATCCCATGCTGCTCCTCCTAGGCTGGGGGCAATAGCAATGTGGAAGAGTAGGAAAACCACAGGGCCTGAGATCGGCCTGGTAACCTGTAAAGACTCAATCTAGTAACACAGCAAGAATCTCTTATCTGTCATCAAGGAGTGGGAATATAAAATACAGACAGGCTGGGAGTGAAGCTCGGTCATAGGACACCTGCCCAGCACACATAAGGCCCTGGGTTTCATCCCCAGCACTGCAAAACAAAGGAAGGTGTTATGGTTTGTGTCTGTGTGCCCCCCCAAAGCCTCATGTGGTCATGGGGCAGGCTTTTAGAGTTTGATTGATTATGGGTGTGAGAGCTACATCAGCCCTGGGGTGGATAGTTTGCATATGTAAGGGACAGGAAGAGGCTGCTTGCAGCCATTCCTCCCTTTTGTGCTTGTTGCTTTGGCTGTGTTCTGCCACCATGAGCAGTATTCCTCTGCCATGTGCCACTCTGCCTTGTAACCTGCCAAGTATGGACTGAAACCTCCACAAACTGTAAGCGAAATAAACCTTTCCTTCCTTAATTTTAGGCATCAGGTATTTTGTCCCAGCAACAAGAGGAAAGTAACCAAGGGGAAAGGAGGGAGGAAGGGTGGAAAACCACAAGCACCACCTAGTGCTGAGTGATGGGTTTCTCGCCTCACTGTAATTCCTGCCCAGTCGCTAAGGTGTCCAGCCAATATGGCACTGGAGGTCATGTGCTATAGTGCTGAGCCAGTATGGCACCAAGCCAATATGGTGCTAGCCACTAGAGGTCAGGTGCTAAGCCCCACCCTTCTTCCTCTGAGTCAAATTACGACTTCCTACTTCCCTTTTTGTAATATCCTGTTTCCTTTTCCCATGCTCCTGCCCAATCCTGGTCTGCCATGTCAGGTGGTTGCCTCCTAAACCCTGCCTCCAGCCTGGACCTATTAACCTTTGACCCCATGACAGGCCCTCAGAAGTTCCACATCCCTCTCTTTCCTACTGTGGTCTTCTCTGCACCCACAATAAAGGCATTTTATTCTGCTTTACTTCTCTCTGTGCTGGAAAAACCTATCACTGAGCTCTGCCACCACATGTCTAAGTGTGTTTTGGCAGTTCAGCATGTTACCCTGTGTTAGATTAAAAATCCCTCTCCAGGGTGAACCGGTCCCAAGAACAAGGTACCCTCAGATGAATAGAAAAGTAAGAGAATCAAGAAAAACAAGAGAGGCATAATTCTGGGATCAGGGGGCTTACAGCCTCTTGGACTGCAGCCTCGATTGCCAATCTCAGTAAACTTTTATTGAGAAAGAACAAAGGAAGCAGCTGGGCAAATGGGAGGATATCAACCATTTTAGCAAGGACAATACAACGCAATTATCATAGGAATGAGACTTGACTTTGTTAGCCATCATGTTATCATTCCTTCGGGCATCTCAGCAAAGCATTCAGTGTTGACCTCATGGCTTTCCACAAGGACACAGGTTCTGTAATCTTTTTCTTTCCACCAATGCTTTTGCTAGACTTCCTCCAGAACCAAACAATCACATGGCTTGGTCAGGCCTGAGGCAATATATTGAAAGAGTAACTAAAGAATGTCCTTTTCCACAACCCCACGGGTCCCAGGCAATTTGTCCCAGGCCATTTGAGCCACAGGAATAACTCAGGGCTCTCCTGACCTCCTGGTGAGCCATGTCCTCTTGGGCAGGGCTCAGCCTGCCAGGCGATTCTCAGTTGTGAGTTTTGCAGTTCAGGGGCTCAGGAATTGTACGTAGTGGCCTGTGTGGTGGGCTGGATGGCCTACCTGGTAGTCAAGGAGGCTCTGCCTCAGGCTCCGTGCCAGGTACTGGTCACCTGGCCATCCCCAAAGCCTGAGCTCGGGGGCACCTACTGTCCTGGGCTCCTGTCAGAGCCACCTCTCCCCTCCCTCCCCACTTCCATCCTAGGAATCAGAATCTCCCAGGCCTTCTCCCAGTACCACCCCTGGATTTGGGGGCTTCCCCATGTCTTTCCCTCAGTCACTGTCCTAGCCATGCCCCCTCCACCTCTGCCCTGAAGGCTCTGTGGCCCCACTCTTTGGCCTCCCGCCTCCACTCTGGGCCCCCACCTCCCTACACAGCACACTGGGGTCAGAGCCACCTTCTCCAGGGGGGCACCAGCAATGGGATCTGCATGGGGAGCCCTTCCAGGGCTCGTTCCCAACCTCACAGTGTTATAGGCAGCTGAGTTAGATGGAAACATTATAGGCAGTCAGACAGGGCCAGGCCCTCAAGGGAGCCAACATGAAAGACAAGATAAGATACCTGTGGGCCAGACCTCAAGACATAAGGACTAAACAAATGCACCCACCTACCTCCCTAGGTGTGGGCATCAGGGATTGATATTCTACATAAGTAACAACCACCTTCAAAAAGCCAGAAAGAGTCACTAGCCCAACCCCCTACAGGAAAAGCCCCTGTTCTGTATTCATGCCCGCTTGCTACATGACCCGCTTCCCCATTTGATCCCAGTTTACTCAATTTTACCCAAACAATTATACTTGTAATCTTATTGGCTGACCATAGTCTTGTCCCACCTCATGCCCACCTTGTAATTTCCCATTTCCCCCCTATCCTGGACCTGCCTCACCTCAGGGTTTTGCTCTATAAAGTCCCTGGGAAGGGCAAGGTCCTTGGCAACCCACTGGGGCCCCCTTCTGCCCCTCTCTTGGACAGAAGCTTTCTTTCCCTCAATAAATATATTCTGCTCTTAACCTCCATTGTTCCTAAAATTCATTCTTTGATTTGAGGGAACATGAACTCGTCCCAGATATCGTTCAGGTTGGGAGTTTTATTTTCCTGTACCAACAGCAGGACTGAGTGGGCATCTCAGCATTGTGAGAAGTCTCAGGCCCACCTCCAGTCTGGATCTGGACTCACATTTCTAAATGGTTTGGCAGAGCAGGTGAGCACCTACCGCAGGCCCTGCCCCTCGGCAATGCACTTATAGACTGCTCCCTGTGCCCCTCTCTGATGTGGGATGACCCTACCTGGCCACACAGCCAGGAAGGGGGGACAGCCGTACAGATGCCACAATGGCCACCGTATGCAGGGCTGACAGGCAGGTGAAAGAATCTCAGGTGACAGAGGCAGCTGCAGACACACCCAAAGCCATCAGGTAGCGCGTTTTACGAGCTTTCTCATAAAGCCATGAGAAAAAAGTACCTTTGTCTCTGCTTTCCAGAAACCAGGGACGTGGCCTGACCCTGCCTCGCCCCCTACACACACACACACACACACACACACACACACGCACGCACACACACCTGCCCTGCCCTTGCATCGCTGCCCGGGTATTGCAGGGCTCTTTCCTGTTAGCTGTAGACAAAGTTTCTAGGCCCAAGACAGGCGAGTGTGGTGGAAGAATGGGCAAATGGAGATCAGTACAGCTTTGGCTCGACCCTGTCAGGTTGCTGTATGACCCTGTCAGCCACTTGTGCTCTCTGGGCCTTGGTTTGCTTCACAGGAAAGCGCAACCAGGCCATGGAAGGGAGCATTCCTCCTTCTCTTCTGGGAGGCCCTGGATTCCAAGCAGCCAGGCCTGGGCTTCTCTGGAGCTCTAGGCACCATGGGCAGTGGAAGGCGAAGGGCAGGCCTGCATTTCAGCTGTGGCTCCTGCAGTCCTCAGCTGTGCACCTGGGCCTCTCTGAACCTCAGGCTCCTCTTCTAAGTCAGGTTTTAACAGAGCGTGTTGATAGGGCAGTCTGTGAGCTCCCTTCTCCTGCGCTGCCTCACTCACAGAACCCAGGCACGGCCGCTTTCCCCTTTAGTTTCCTTTACATGAGTATCAAAGGAAGCTTTGAAAATAAATCCCTGAAGCCTCTAGGGCTGAGAGTGGGGGATAGAGTACAGCCTCAGACACAGTGCAGGCCCAAGTTGCATAGCACTGCAGATGTCTCGAGCTCCACATCGTGTCCTCCCACTTCCTGGGGTGGGGTTGGCTGTGAGGCCGGTTGAACCTCATCCTGCAGAGCTTCCCTCCACCCACCTGGCTGATGGGGAGGAGAAGCGGGGAAGGGTCTGAACTGCCCTGCCTTAGCCAGCAGGCTTCCTCAGTCACAACAGTGAGACAGGAGATGAGGGTGTGACCAACTGGCTGAGCAACTGGAGGTGACTTGCAAACTCAGAGATTCAAGACACAGGCACAGACCAATCAGAAAGTTCTAGCTTCAATTCTTCTGGCAAGAATCAAGCAGGTTTTTGATAGGATGCCCTTGATCTGACGTCATCCTGAAGAACGAGGGTACAAAAGACCTTTGTCATTAATCCCATGGTCACTGGGACGCTCAGTGGCCTGCTTTCACTCTGCAGAATATACTTCTTTTCTTACTTTTAATAAATGTAAAATCATGCACAAGGTCCTGGGTTTGATCCCCAGCACCATTAAGTAAATAAATAAATATAAATAAATAAATGTAAAATCTCACCTTGTCTTTCATCCTCACTACTTTTTTGGCCCAATTCTTTATTCAGGACACCAAGAACCTGGAAAGAGTCTACAGAATTCCAGAACCCTGTAACAATAAGACAAAACAGACTGTTTCCTTGTTTTACTGAAGAAGAAACTGAGGCTTAGAGAGGTAAAGGGTCTTTTTAGCTTAGAGCTCCCCAGTCCCTTCGCTTCACAGCCTAACTTCTAGTCTAGGTTTAAAACCCACTAACTTCCTCATTCCATTCCAGCCCAAGCTCCACCCTCTACCCCAGATTTAAAAGCAGCTGGCCTGGGGTGAAGTCATCATAACCTATGCATTGCTGAACTGTACTTGTCATGCTAATAAATCTTTCTGCCTTGATTGGTCATCTCTGAGTCTTCTGTCTACCTAACAGTCTTGATGGTCTCCCAGCTCCTCAAAGAACAGCTGGAGGGGCTGGGGATTTAGCTCAGCGGCAAAGTGCCTGCCTGGCAAGCGCAAGGTCGTGAGTTCCGTTCCCGGTACCGGAGAAAAACCCCAAAAAAAAAAAAAAGAACAGCTGGAATTAGATGAGGTGAGGCCCAAAGGCCCAACTTCTCCACCGGGGCAGCACATGCACGTGTCCATCCTCCGTGCACTGCCCTTGTTGTCGGGTAGCCTGCTTCTAAAAGGCGCTCACCAACTGAACAGTAACAGATTCTGGGTTGCTCGCCTCTCCTCCTGGAGTCAGAGTCCAGCTTCCTCTCATCGCAAACAAAGAATTGGACAAAAGGAGCAACAAGCAGTGTCCATGTTTACTCAGGAAAATAAAAGTGAAGAGCCGGGCAGAAACTGGCTCTGCAGAGTGAGCTTGGGCAGAGTAAAGAGAAAAAGAGGGAGAGAGCAAAGGACAAAGTACAGTGAGTCTGGGAAACAGAGTGGGCTTTTGTGGAAAGTTATAATAGCACTGCTCTTCATGGCAGCCTTTTATGCTGTCCAAATCCACGAGAACCTCTACATTCGGGTCCCGAGAGGCAGTGCTGAGATCCCACATCTCAGGCTGAAGTCAGGTCCAGGCACCCTATTGAAAACCTACTGATTTCTCTCGAAAAGTCCATACACAAGGCTTTGGGACCTGCTCTCTCCACATGTTCTAAGATCTGGTGATTAATGGGTCAGGCCTACTTCCCCAGACTGCTTTAGCCATTCCCTTTGCGCCTATCTCATTCTTGCCCCATCCCTCAACCCTGGGTGGCTGTGGAAGAGAGACAGGAGATGCTTGCTCTTCCCAAGATGGCACTAGAGAGAAGACTGGATTCCATCAACTCCAACAGACACATGCGTGCGTATACACATAAATGCACACCACACACACAGAATAACTGTTAGTCTTGGTCTTGCTGGGTGGCCTGCGTGTGGTAGGAAGCCCAGGGAAGCTTCTAGTTTCTCTAACATTTTTGCTCCAAGCCCATACTGCCTAGCCCTGGACCGACAAGGTGCAGCCTTAGTGCAGATAGCACAACTGGGGTTGTATGGGGTCACCCCTCCTCCATTCACCAGAACTTGGGCAACGCCCTATAGGGAAACACAAAATCCCAACATGGCGGCACTTTGGTTGGGCTGTGAAGGCAAGGGGCCCTGGGAGGCAGTGGGTTCTGTGTCAGCAGAGCTGCAGCACAGGCGCACCTCCCGATGCCCCAGTGTAAATAACTTCTGCAGCCAAGGTCCCTGCCGGCCGGTGTAAATAACTTACATAACCAAGGTCGTTACTGGCACATGGCCACCATTTTGTATTTTGATATAAATGTAGACTCAGCAGCTGAGGCCTACCACAAGCATGAGCTGGCTGTGGGGCTGAGGACTGCTGTGTGTACAGGGGCTGAGGGCCACAAGAGTGGCTGAAGAGCCGGACTTCGGCTAAGAGCCAAGTAAAAGATGTTTAACCCAGTCCCCGGCTCTGTGTCTCTTCTTCAGGCTGCGAGACTCTCAAGTGACCATACTCAGTACGAACTTGTGACAAGACAACCCCTAGGGCCAATCCTCCTTCCACTGCCCTAAGAGAAGCAGAAATAAGAACAAAGACCCAGGAAATTTCTAAAGCTCCAGGCCAGAGCACATGCTCGTGAGATACAGTAGACTTCCAGTTACCTTCTCCCCACTGGAAATTCATTAACAGTTCATACATAGGGACTGCATATCATATATGTAATTATAATAGTGAATTATGGGAAAATCATGCACACTAGAGTCCCCTGAGCTGACTCAGCACCCTGTCAATCACTTTTGTCAGTTGTATCCAGACAGATCCAAAAAGAAACACCCTAGGTGGAGCATGCATCTTTTAAATCCCAAGCTTGAATTATCTTCTTCCTCTGCTCCCCTGTACCACTTCGTCCCCTGTTTGTGCCACTTTTGTTTCTGCTGGGACTGACCCCTTGCTTTGAGTGCACTTTCAGACATTAACGTCAATACATGTAGCTGTCTTTTCTTTATTATCGGGTATACACTTGCTATTCTTTGCTGCACATACACAAGACCCTGGAATCTATTTTTCAAGAGCCCACTGTGTGCTGTATCTTTGTAGCCTTCCTGCAGTCCCCAGCCAGCTGCCAGCCTTGTCTCCATGCCCTCCTCGCAAAGCGTTGGCATCCCGGAATTCTTCAGGGGCTTCACACTGGCCAAGAAACCTCAAGGTTCCTGCAGCCTGGCCCCACCCACGCTCCCTGCTCTCTCTTCCCTCCCAGCGTGCACAGCCCATGTGCACTCCACACCCCTCTGTGACATCGCTCCACCACAGCCTGTCCCCACCACTCCACACTCAGGCTCCTGCCTGACTGCACATCAGAGCACTTCCCATACTGTGGGGAGGTGGAAGTCAAAGTCCCCAGGCTCAAGGGGCAGGAAGGAAGGACAGTGGAGAAAGGAGGACAATCCCAGACACTGCCCTGCTAACACTCAGATGGAGCGGGAAGCTCATGTCTGGCTCAGGGCCCCATGGTGGCAGAGCCCTGACTTCCTAGTGTGGTCACCTGCTCCCCCCAGGGAGAAAGGAGGGCACCTCAGTGCTCCTATATGTGCTACCCAGTGCTGCTATCTTGTGGCCTCACAGCAGTAGCTTTTATTTTTCACCCCAAGGCCTCAATGACCTAAAAGATTTGGGATAAAATCGACACTGGACAATGGGGCTCTTTGGATCCTGAGAATTTGACAAGGAAGCACTCTCCCTCCTATGCCAGCAGCGCGATGGGGCGGGCCGGGTGGGGGCAGCTTGGGGCTTTGCCTGAGAGGAGTCAGCATGAGTCAGGAGAATGACCAGGCTGCGTGCATGTTGACTCAGAGCCGCTGGTCTCTGGAATGCTAACAGACCCTAATGTTTATTGCTCTTTCTTTTAAAAATACCACTCTGACCACACTTACTCAGGAGTAGATTTACAGGACTTTCGGAGCCATTACTACCTAAGAAATAAATCACAGCAGGTTTGCAGGACCTACGCTGCTGCGGCAGAGGTACACTGGGGGGAGTCCTCCTAGACTAAGAAAAAAAAAGTGCAGGGAGCTTTGATTAGCAGCTGCAGGCCCGTGATTGGTCCAAGTACAGGTCTGTGATTGGTTTAAGTAGGTGCAGGGCTCCAGGACACAGCCAAAGTTGTCATGGCAGCAACCCAGTGAGGGGGGCAGGGCTGAAACCAGGGAATCTTCTGGAAAGTTAAGTGGGGGGTTGGGGCTGTTAACAATGGGCCCTGATCCCTCCCTTGCTGCACGCCCCTCCCCCTCCTTCAAAAAGACAGCAGCCCCTTCTGAAGTGGGAGTGAGTAGGGGCTCCAGGCTGACTGTTGAGCTGCTGCCTGCTGAAGGAGAGAAAGGAGAGAAGAGAAAGGCTGCTAGATAACCCAGAGGACTCTGGGGCAAGTTGCACCAGTCCATGGGGGTGGGGCAGGGGAGCAAAAGGAAGCAAGGGGGAGGGGCAAGACAATGACTGGCCTAGGGCACTAGAAAAAGCTGGAAGTCAGGCACTTCTGTCTCAGGGTGGGCTACAGTCTGGTCATCCCCACTGGCCAGGGGCACAGTTCCAAAAGATGTTCCTTCTTGTGGCAGACTTGGTCACAGTAACTTGTCCTAGAGGCAGTCAAATCTTCATGTAGCTGGTGCCGTCAGCCTGCAGAAATACTCTGTCTTGTGGTCTGGGCCTAGGGTAGGGCTGAAGGACATGAGGCACTTGGGCTTTAGCGGTTTCTGAAGAAGCACAGGATGGGGGCAGAAAAAAAGGGAGAGAGAAAGAAAAACAAAACCCAGCTCCCACGGGCAACAAGCCAAGGTATCGCTGTGTTAGTCTTGGACAAGACTGTTCTTAAATATCAGTGCATGTACGTGCAGAGCTGAGCAGGCTCTGACCCAAGGGTTAAGACGGCAGCTAGGGCAGACACAGTATGAAGAGAGAGACGCCAGACCTTTTATGCACTTTAGTCCCCGTCAGATGTCTGGAGGTCAAGTGAAGTCAGTGTAACATATATAATATACGTGGGTACAGGGTGAAAACCAGCAGAGACCACCAGGCTTGTGTAAAGACAACATGACATGGAATTTATCCAGGCAGAGAGCACTATAAGACCATAAGACCATCTGCCCCGAACAAAGAGAAGTGTGTCTCTTTTTATAGGGATGGAGAGAAGGCAGGGGTCATTAGGTGGGAAGATAAACATCTGGGATCAAAGTTTCCTGGCAAAGCACCTGCCTGGCAAGGACAAGGTCCTGAGTTCGATCCCTGGTACCAAAAAAAAAAAAAAAGTTTTCTGGCAGTCTTGTATCTCAGTGGGCAGAGCCCTTAAGTGTGATGTAAATTATTTTGTGCTTGCCAATGACAGCTTCAGGTTCCCTGCAGAGAGAAACAGTGCTTCTGCTGGCCAGCAGCCTGGGGTGGGAGAGTAAGGTCCAATTTGAACCTCACAGTCAGTTTTCAGAAAAAAAATGGCCTTCAGATCCCTGCGAAGAAATTGGGGTGCCATTATCATAACCAGTATCTAGAGGAAAAGTTTGTGGGAAGTGAATCAACACCGGGCTGAACTTCAGAATGAGTCATCTTTAAGTTGCCTAAGAGTAAATGAGGCTGCAGGGCTTACATGGGATTTTCCTTAGAAACAGTTTCTCATTTCGTGTACATGTTCTGCTTCTGCCGCTTTAGCAAGGTCTCATGCCGGGTCTGTTAAACATGCCATGCTATACGGGTGATTGTTTACTGTGCCCAA